CTATGTCCTTCTGTCTTATGTATTCAACCCATCTCATGCTTTGTTTCACTTGAGATATGGTTACAATTCCTAGGAAGTGAACATCTGCCTCTTGAGAAGCCAATTTGGATGCCAAGATTCTGGAGAAAATCCATCCATGTCTAGTAATGCCTCAATTACAATGTTATTTATATGCACTGTCAGCTTTGCTCTTTGATCATTTATAGAAGTCTACAAGCTGGGCAGTGATGGTGCGCGCCTTTAATCCCAGCACTTGAGAGGCAGAGGCAGCCGGATCTCTGTGAGTTTGAGGCCAGCCTGGTCTAGAAGAGTTAGCTCCAGGACAGGAACCAAAAAGCTACAGAGAAACACTGTCTCAAAAAATCAAAAAAAAAAAAAAGTCCATCAAATGTTTCCCATTTCCTATTGCAATTTTATTCATTTTTAATGTTTATTTATCATCCAGAACAACATTTTTTTACAGCAAGCAATGAATTTTTTTTAATTTTGTTGTCCTCCACAATGACTGGAAATCACAGGACCAAGTTTTACTTGGAGGCCTGTGAGAGGCACCCCCAATAAATTTCCCAATGTTATCAGGTTGCCTTATCTGTCTTTTATTGATCTGCATTCATTGGTCCAATATTCAAAGATATGTTACTTTGGAGAATAGGATTTGCTTTGTTTCCCCAGGAAGTGTGAAGTGGTGGATTCATTCTTGGTTAAGAAAAATAAGGATTGGTCAAAGAAGAAAATCTCAAAAATACCAATAGGAGCAGATGGCCCAGATGATTCAACATTTAAACCTTTTTTGTTAGTTTTCTCATATTCTATGAGAAAGTCTCACATGTCTGTTTGTGTGTGTGTACATATATTTAGTACTTTGATGATATCAACTCACACTTCTTTTCAAGGTAGCAAATCTACCTCATCCTTCTTTCAAATTACTTTCTTTTTTTATCACCCATTGAGTCAAATCAGTGCTGTTTCTGTCATCATTGGTATAGAGCCATCCAGTAGAGCATGGACATCCTAACAAAACCAGTTTACTAAAAATACTGACTCTCCCTAGGCTAACAACCTTATTAGGTGATATAGGAACAGGAATTATGGAGAGAATGCTCATGAACCAATCCTACTAAATGAGAAAATAATGAGTATTGATAGCTCTTAGTATTAAAAGAGTCAGTTTTCTTTGATGATATGAACCTTGTCAAGTTAAGTCATACTCAAGTGGTTGACCCCATACCCATGAGTATATGTCCAGCTTATATACAACTAGGTGGGTTGTTTAAAAACAAATCAAAACCAGGTGATTGTGGTGAATGCCTTTAATCCCAGCATTTGGGAAGCAGAGGCAGTTGGACCTCTGTGTATTCAAGCCCAGCTTGGTCTACAATGACTAGTTACAAGATAGCCAGGGCTGTTACACAGAGAAACCCTATCTCAAAAAAGAAAAAAATAAAACAAGAACAAAAAATCAAAAATAGGTCATAAAATTGGAAGAGGATAGGAAGATTAGGAATGAATCTAGCTAAGGGAAGAGTCAGGTGATTATGATCAAAGTACATTGTGTGATATTCTCCAAAAGTAATTAAAATGTCATACTAGACAAGAGCCTTTTGTCATAATTGCCGAGTCTGAGAGACTTAGGCAGAGAAGTAAATCAAATAAATACACAAATAACCATAAAAATAAATGCTCATTTAAACAAATCAAACAACTCCATGAAAACTTGGAGCTTAAATACTTGAGCACAAAATGCTAGTAACTTCTTAATGATTTCATAATGTAAGTCCCACCTCATTGAAATAATATTTGTGGTAGTTAGGTGAATAGGTTTTGCAGCATAATTAATTCATTTTATCCTTGGTTAAATCTCAGATCTACCTATTTTGTGTCTTAGTTTCCTCTTTGTAAAATAGAAGCAATAGCAGTAGCATCATGGATTTAAGGGAGTTTTTTTAAGTCCTTAAAAAGTGTCCAGCATACAATAACTCAATAGGTAATAACTGCGATTACTTTTGACATAATAATGTTAAATATAAATGTATTTTATTTATTCAATATGATTCAATATGATTATGCTGTTGTATGTAACATTTTCCATTTAATTTTTGATACATGTCAATAATATAGGTAAAAATATATTAAAAAAGACATGAAATTTTTAAAAGTAACTACTGGCAAAGTAACCTAAAAAGTTCCTGAATTTTGACAATTTTGTCACATCTCTTCTATGTTAATCACTATATAGCAGATAAACTCATCAAATAAGAAAATGCATTGCAAAATTATTGCAAAAGATCGGGAAAAATCATTTTGAAATAAAGAATGCAAGCCCATGGATTGTCTTGGAAAGAAATGGGTGATCTTGGCCTTAAGTAAATTAGTAGACAGAGCAAGGTCTTATGTTGATAAAGGCAATGGACATTGTGATGAATACAATTACTCTGTGGATACCTACAAAGAATGATTTCATACAAGAGACATTACATGGTAGAAGCAAAGGGGATACTGTGGGAAACTTGGAGCACTATAGGAATATAAAAAGAGGAAAAAATAAAAGATAGGTAATCAAAATGATGAATAAAAAATTAAAGGGTAACAGCAGACAAGTGGAAACAGACCTAAAAGTCTCAAACCTAGATAAAGCAGTTAGTAAGACTCTGCATGGTTCTCTTAGCAACAAGTTTTAATTCTTATTCCTGAGGCTATAAATGAGGATTCAACATGGATACCAAAACTCAGAAGATATAAGTTCAAATAAATGATAAATAGGAAAGAATATGGAAATACTAAGTGCTCAGATTTGATCAGTAGGTTGAATACATTGAGAATAAACACAATAATATCACAAGAATGAGATTACAAAACTCTTCACCCAGGAAAACATGAGGCATGATACTTTAGTCACCAAGGTCATCCTGACCTTCTGTTGTTCATCAAAATTCTTCCCTGGAGTAGGCACATATAATCCATGATAAGTCATCATCTTGAAGTGTTTCTAGCTGATCAGTGTGATGGTAATTAACAGTGTGCTATGAGCAGATTTTTCTTTTTCTTTTATTTTAATCTGTCAGAACACAGTCATCAAATGTCATTTTTAAAAACAATTTCTCAGGGAGTCTAGAATTTTTTCTCTCTCACTAACTGTCTTTATACTTTTTCTCATAGTCATAGCCCCTCAACTTGTCTACAGGTGAACAATATATGTCATTTTATAATACTTTAGCCTTTAAATATGTGTAATATATTGTCTAAATAAAAATGTATATACATGAACATGTATGTTCTTTTGCTTAGCCTCTTACACAGCAATCACCCATTTTTCATAACAATTTTTCCTCTTCATCAAGATTGTTCCTGCCTCTAAAACTCTATTCAGCATTTCCCTCTGCTTAGATACTCTGTGAACAGCCCCACAATCAGTCAGATCCTGAGGATGATTCCCTCCCACCAGCCAAGTCAAGAAAAAACAGTTACTCTCAGCACAATTACATTTTCTCAAGACATTGTGTATCATTTGTCTGATATAAACTTACAGACACAGAAATGGTTTATTTAATCACCTGAATAATCTACATGTTTCTGAGATCACAAGCATCTTTAACTTTCTTCATTGCTTTATTCTTGATATTTGACCAAAGCCTACATAACTTGTCTAAAATAGAAAACATGCTCATTCTATTTTTGCCACTACAATAAAGTCAATTATTGTATAACAGTAAAATTACTAAAGAGAAAGAACAGACTGCTAGTAAATTAAGATTATATCATTTATGTGAAGAAAATACAGAATTATTCTATCCAGGATTAGTTTTTATGGGTCTGGGGTCACTCAGAGATTTACAGGTATGACCAATTATACATTTATTTATAGCAAAGAAGAGTCTTTTATTAAGACTAAATAAACAAATTCAGAAAGAACTTTCAGAACATGAGAAGGTCATTTCACTAAATAACAAAGCACAAGATTGGTGAAATCTATGAAAAAAATTAAATAAAATAGCAGAAAGTAGGAAAAAAAGGAAATACCCATTGCAGATTTTGCTATTTAAGATAAAAAGAAATCCAGCAACTGCTCAAATGAATCTTAATTTTTTCTGAAAATCCAAAATTACTAAGGGACCAAAAATTCCTTAGGGCAAACGTGAAATATTCTCTATAGTACAGGCTTTCCTTGGTGTCCCATGGTGATAAGGACTTGGTTATTCATTAAAATAGGTTCTTTATTAATTTTTATTTTTTTTTTTTTGGTTTGTTTTTGTTTTGATTATTTGTTATTGTGTACAGGAGAAATAATAGCTTTGGCAAAGGCCTGTGATTTTTGTAGATACAGTTTATGGGACCCTTTTGGCCAACATGTTAACATGATATAACCCATTCATGGCATTGGAGGTTTTAGTTAGTACCATAAAATGTCTTGCTGGGTTTTGTCTCCCCCTAAATGGTGACTTCTTTTAATTAGGAAACTCCTACAATAGAAGCATTTCACAAAATGAAAGGCTTTTCAAAAAGCCTTCAGTGTTAGTTGTCTCTTTGCTTAAAGTTGTCTACCATGACCTCAGGCTCTTACAAACCTTTAGTGTTAGTTGTCCTGTATTCTCTAAGAATGTCATACAAATACACACACACACACACACACACACACATATATATATATATATATTGATTTGATTAAATTAACTCCTATTTCTTCATTCTTCTTCAGATCTTCTTGCAGCTCAGGTAACTTGTCCTCCTCTCAACCTGGGTCCTCCTTTAATAATATACTGACTCTAATCAGTGCTGTCTGTGTCAATATGGGTGCAAAGCCACCAACTGATACATGGGCATCCTAGAAATGCTTCTTCCCTAAAAATACTGACTCTGCCTAGCCTAGCAGCCTTATTGGGTGATATAGAAACATGGAATATGAAGATAAGAGGGACTCATAAACCCATACCACTAACCAAGGAACTATTGTTAGGAGAAAGCTCCTAGTGGAGAGTCAGTTTTCTTTGGCTGTCAGGTTAATCATGCCCAAGGGTCGACCCCACACCCATAAGTATATGTCTAGCACATATAAGACTAGGTGAGTTGTTTAAAAACAAAACAAAGATAGGAAATGAAATTGGGAGAGGATAGGAAGATAAGGAATGGATCTGGATAAGGGAGGATTTAGCTGAATATGATGAAAGTACATTGTCTGATATTCTAAAAAAATGAATTAAAATATTATATTAAAATAGAACCTGAAATATGCTTAAATATATTGTATGAAATATCTTTGTAAGAAGACTTTTCGGTCAAACCCTAATCTAGACTTTATGACTAAATTCTTTCAACGTTTATACCTACAATGTGCATGTAGATAAACATGGAGTGACTGTAGACAGTTTCTAAGATTGCACTTTTACAACAGAACTGTCTCATCTCATCTTTTCATTCATTTGCATTAGTTCATGTCACCCAGATTTAATGACAGGAAACTATATTAAGTGGTAACACCTCACTAAGGCATAGAGAACTTCATGTTTCTTTCACTACTGACTGCTTACAAGCCTGGCATTTTCAGTGATGATTTAACACAGAAAGTTTCATATTGCACTATATTTCTAACTATAAGATACCTTAACTAAGCCGGGCAGTGGTGGCACATGCCTTTAATCACAGCACTTGGGAGGCAGAGGCAGGCGGATCTCTGCGAGTTCGAGACCAGCCTGGTCTACAAGAGCTAGTTCCAGGACAAGCTCCAAAACCACAGAGAAACCCTGTCTCGAAAAACCAAAAAAAAAAAAAAAAAAGAATACCTTAACTAAATTATATGTCTCGGTATGCTCCTTAAATGTTTGAATATAAATCTAAAATAAGTACAAGCCTTAGTTTTAAAGCACTAAATTTAATTAACAACAGATTAGACAATGTACAAAAATTGAGTACATTTATTATTAAAGGAAAACAACAAAAAGAAGCTGTCCAATGAAACATAGAGAAAATGGGAAAAAGAGACTGAATAAAGCTTCTGAGATTCTTCAGTCACATTCTTGATAGATAGGAGCATGTGCAATTAGGAACAATTAAGACATACAACTAAGACCATTTATGTAAAAGACAAGTCCTACACAATGAAGCCCTAAAGAATTCAATATTTTTCTATAACAAATTTGACTATCTAATCTACATAAAACCATTTTTAGCAAGTATTTGGAGATAAATAATTTATAACTTTCCCCAAAAGAGTTGAAACAAACAAATATGATGCATTGATTTATTTTATGACCTGGTTTGCTTGACATAGATGTTTACATTATTCACCTAACTATAAGGAACTGCTTTATATTCAGTATTAAAATAAAAATATTGACATGTTCATTCTGTACTACACAAATGTGAATTATTAAATTTCATAAATATGCTTTCCAGAGTGATCAGTTTTTTCATACTTAATAGACAATATTCTCAAATAAAGTATATTCACAATTTCTAAATTTATATAATTGTTTCTAGTCATAATATGTTCTATCAGGTGTACAGGTGAAACAGCTATTTGAAAAATCTTTATTTGTTAATTATTCACACCTTAATTTCCTTTAAACACCAATAAGAAAGAAAATACACATTCAAATGCGATAGCTTTTCAATTTTGATTTTTTGTTGACAAAAAATTGTGTACACGTATGAAGTGAAATGGAACAGGGGATATTAAACAGTGATTAAGTTGGTCCATTTAACATGTCTATCATCCCACATTCTCACCATTTCTTCATGAAGACATCTCAAGTCTATTCTTTTAACCATTTTGAGCTACAAATTATTGACTTTCCTTAAACCATGTTCCTTGTACCTGAAACCTTGAACAGCTTAATCCCCTTGTCCTCTTCTCAACACATCCACAACTTCTAAATGTTAAACTTCAGTCAACTGACTTGTCAACACTGGAAGCATCACCATGACCAATTGTCCTCCCAGAACAGGGCCAGCTTGTGAATTGATTATTCTTTATCAGTCTGTGCAGCCTGCATATGAGTGTCAAAACATGCAAGTGTCACACATGTGAGTGGCTCACATTTTAAGTTTGATTTAGTACCAGGATTTATAAACATAATGCAATATAACTCATCCTCTGTCTTTGTGAAAGCATTTGTTTACTTATTAAAATCTGTCATTCATAGAAAATTCAATTGAGAAATGGCTAATCAAGGCCTTGTGTCATATGTAGGCAAAAGAATTGAAGAAATCCATAAGCACTCAGGCTGTGCTTGAGGAATAAAATTTTAATCACATTACAATACTGAAATAAATATTCAAACAAATATAAATGCTTAAGTCTCTGTTGAATGCAATGAGTTTATTGAGATCCTATTAAATTTTTTAACAGCATTATTTTCTTCTAAGCATATTGTTATAAACTAGTGTCTCAGAATTTTACATACATTACATCTTCATATGAAAACAAAAGCTATAAATGATAAACTACTGGCTTGATGAAGACATACCCAAGAAACAACTTCCCTGAATGCATTTGGAATAGGAATAGACTGTAGACAATGTATATTTGTAACATATACAACTATAAAATTTTGAGAACTTAAATTTTCTGTGATTTTGATCATGCTTCTTTCAGTACTCCAAAATATGATATAATTACTAATAAGGATGCAAGAATATAGAAAGTGTGATATGGCTCACGTGTTCACAAAAACTTAACCCAAATTTCTTTGTATCACCATCCAATAAAAATGAGAGACACAGATCGCAACTGTACAAAGTGGACCAAAATGTGAGTAATCAGTCCCCCAGCTGGACAGCCCAGTTTATAGGTCCTAGGCCCCTGGGGAAAGATTTCTGAGCCCATCTCCTACCTGACTCATCCACACTAGCTGGTCAACAGGCAAGCCTTCTGTAGGCAGCCTGCTCCAGCACCTTTCCCCCATCAAACTCTGATATCTACAAGTATAACTCTGCCCTCAAATGCATCCATCCCCAGAGATCTCAGCATCTTCCTGAGACACAGAAAGCAAAACACGGAGTAGACCAAGAACGGCTTCCTGAGAAACAGACAACAACTACAAGAATCGATCTAAAAGAAAATCACTGAGACACAGATACCAACTACAAGGATTGAAACAAGGATCAAAGGCACTGCCTGCACCAACTGGAAGAAGAGATGAATAGGTGTCAATGCAAGATTACATTCAACAACCTAAAGAGCAATATGACAACACCAAAACCTAGTGGTCTTACAACAGGAAGACCAGAACATTCCAGAGAAGCAGGGATCATTCAACATATGAAAATCTGTCAATGTAATCCATCATATAAGTAAACTGAAATAAACAATATAATTATCTCAGTAGATGCTGAAAAGACCTTTAACAAAATCCAATGCCCCTTCATTAAAAAGTCTTGGAGAGATCAGGGATACAAGGAATATATATTAACATAATTAAAGTAATATAAATCAAACTGACATCCAATATCAAATTAAATGAAAAGAAACTCAAAGTGATTTCACTAAAATCAGAAAAAAAGACAAGACTGTCCATGTTCTCCATATCTATTCTATATAGTACTTGAAGTTCTAGTCAGAGCAATAAGACAAAAAAAAAGGAGATCAAGGGGATACAAATTGGAAAATAGCCAGGCGGTGGTGGCGCACGCCTTTAATCCTAGCACTTGGGAGGCAGAGGTAGGCGGATCTCTGTGAGTTTGAGACCAGCCTGGTCTACAAGAGCTTTTCCAGGACAGGCTCCAAAACCACAGAGAAACCCTGTCTCGAAAAACCAAAAAAAAAAAAAAAATAACAAATTGGAAAGTAATAAGTCAAACTTGCACCATTTGCAGATAATATGATAGTGTACATAAGTGACCCTAAAAATTCTATCAAAGTATTTCTACAACTCATAAAGACATTCAGTAATGTGGCAGAATACCAGACCAACTCAAAAAATTCAGTATCCTTCCTATATACAAATTATAAAAAAATTGAGAAAGAAATCAGAGAAACATCACCCTTAACAATAGCCACAAATAACATAAAATACCTTGGGTTATCACAAACAAAAGGAGTGAAAAAAATCTGTAAGTCAAGAACATTAAGTCTTTTTAGAAAGAAATTGAAGAAGATCAGAAAATGGAAAGATTTCCCATGCTTTTGGATAGGTAGGATCAATATAGTCAAAATGGGAATCATACCAAAAGCAATCCACAAATTCATTACAATCACCATCAAAATTCCATCACAATTCTTCACAGACCTCAAAAAGAACAATATCCAATTTCATATGGAAAAAAAAAAAAAACAGGAGAGCTGAAACAATCCTGTAAAATAAAGGTACCTCTGGAGGTGTCACCATCCCTGACTTCAAGCTCTACTATAGTGCTATAGAAATAAAAACAGCTTGAAAATGACATAAAAGGGGACAGGTGAAACAATGGAATCTAATTGATGACCCTCATATTAGTCCACATACCTATGAACACCTGATTTTTGACAAAGAAGCTAAAATTATACAGTGGGAAAAAGGAAGCATTTTCAACAAATAGTACTGGGAAAACTGAATGTCAACATATTGAAGAATGAAAATAGATCCATATATATCCCCACGCACAAAACTCAAATCCAAATGTATTAAAGACCTCAACATAAATCCAGGCACACTAAATTTCACAGAAGAGAAAGTGGGCACTGGAGACCATTATCTACATATAACACCTGTAGCACTGACTCTGAAAACAACAATTAATAAATGGAACTTCCTGAAACTGAGAAGTTTTTGAAAGGCAAAGGACACAATCAATAAGACAAAATGGAATCCTACAGAATGGGAAAAGACCAACCCCATATCTGACAGAGGACTAATCTCCAAAACATTTTAAAAACTCAAATAATTAGATATCAAAATACAAAATAATTCAATTTCTTCATTAGCAATCCTTTTTAGTTTTACTTTTAAGATTTTCATATATTTTTTGATCATATCCTTTCTCTTCCCTAACTCCTCCAAGTCTTTCCATTAATGCCTATCCATCAGACATGTTTTTCTCTATTTAACATAAAATAAAACTAACAATGAGCAAAAAAACCTGGAGCTTAATTTGTGTTTGTCAACTATACCAAAGAATGAAGATTTATTTCCCTGATAGAAATATTTTTTTCCTGAAAGTATTTGAATGTGTAACTAAGAATTTGTTTCTTAATCTAATGTTCTATTCTACTAATGTGTTTTGGTACCAAGAAATTTATTGGACCCAAGGAAAAGACAAAGGGCAAAAATATGAGATCGACAGATACTGAAGGCTTTTCATCTTGTGTGGATTTGAAGTTTAGAATGTTGGCAAGGATGAAAACATAGAAAATAAAAATGGTCAAGCTGAGGACTATGATGTTAATACCCACATCTCTGGTAACTACAGCCTCATTGATATAGCTGCTGTAGAAAGAAAGTTGGGGGAGGGGCAGAAGGTCAAACAAGTAATGGTTGATGACTTTGGCATTGTAGTAGGTCAGTGTGAGCATAAAGGTTTTGTGGGCAGAGGCTCTAGCTTCTCATAGTCAGGAAGCTAGAAAAGAAGAAACCTGAGAGGATATGGTCACTTAATAAGCCATTTGTCTGCAGACACCTACATGTAATCATAGGCCACTGAGGACAACATGTAGTGTTCAAAGATGACCAAAAAAAGTGACAGAGAACCAGTATGCATCAGGCATCTTACATACAAAATAGCACTATTCTCAGAGACAAAGTTTATCAGCAGTTTTTGACTGGAGACAGAAATATATCAGAGATCAATGAAGGACAGATTGATTAAATTCAAATCTCACACTGGAATACAGGCCATTAGTAGAGTGCCCTGCTGTATTTCCTTGTCACATCAACTAGATCCTGTCTACTTGCCAATGTTCAGTCCCTCTGACCCTCTGACCCTTACAGTCGGTATTCCCCATCTTTCAAGAAGATGCCTGTACCTTGGGGTGAGGGAGTGTGATGTAGATGTTCCGTTTACATCTTAGTGTTTGTTCTCCTTCACTAACCTCTTCACCCTACCCTCACATTCTTGTAACTATCAAGCAAAAATGTACTTACTATGTAACCAATGGTTTCTACCAACTCAGAGGCAAAAATTTTCAGCAGATGGCATCTGAGGGCTATAAGAGAGAAGTTCCTTCCCCCTTTTTCCCCTGTTATGACTCTGCTAATATTTTCAAGGTGCATTGATTTGTGACTTTTATTAGTTCTGTTACTATAAAAGCCTCCATAAAATTCTTACAACATTGCAGGCATGACGTTTGGAGGAGCCTGAATCCATGTTTCAAACTATTGTCATTCCAAAATAAATGATATCTTTGAAGTGACATATGTTTTTGCATTGAGACCGGTCATCATTTAACTTCCAAACTTGCCCTATATCCTAGATCGTTTTAAAATTCAAAAGAAAAAATAGGTCAGAATACCACCAAGTGGACATATATGTACATTTTCAGGACTTCTAAATGATTTAATGAACTCAATTTTAACATGCTTTTAAAATCTCACTAAACTGTTCACCTTCTCTCGATTTTAGCTAACTTGAAATCATTAAACTTGGATATTATAAAGGTGAACAATGTAGTACGTATTCCCTCACTTTGATGTATTATAAATATCATGATATTTGGTGGGGTTATGATGATGGTGACTGCTTGAGTAACTTTTCATAGACTTTTCCCCAAAACACTCTTCAATTGAGCCTGCAGATTGCTCTGGGGTGAATGAACAGGGCATAAGATTGACATCTCCACCTTCCCACAGTCTATGTCCTCTGTTCTCTTAACTTTGGATAAGATTGCTCCTATTAAATTTCACACAGAGACATACTAGACAGTCAGAGAAAGGCACTTAAATAATTAAAACTGATATATAAAAGGGGTGCTCTATAAAAATGTATAGAAGAATGAATAAGTGAACATTCTTTTCCAGTTCTCTAAGGATGCATACTGGATATTCTTCACAAAATTTTCCCAAAAGGCAAAGAAATATAAGATACAAAGATTCTTATTTATAGACAAAAAGGTAGAGAGTGATGGCAGTCATAAAAAATGTTCAGGCACAGCCACCACATAGAGCCCATCAAAGATAGTTCCATGTTAGAGTTATGAACATCAGAAGAAAGAAAATAAAAAGCTATTGTTCTCATCTATGAATTTCACCATGATCTTCTGAATAATACAAAGAGTACAAGGTGTCTCTTCACATACAATAGTTGCATAGACTGAGATCAGAGAAAAAATAATTGTAACAGTGCAGTATGATGAGGTCTTAAATGACAAAATCTAGATTCTGTTCCTTCTGTAGTGCCATTGGGATTCAGTAAAATGTTTTATACATTTGTAGCGCTAAACTGAAACATCTACAGTACTTAAAAAGATATATATAGCCTGAGAATACTAGAGAAAATGAGTAGGAAGAGCAAGAAAGAAGTAGCATGAGTTTCAGAGGGAATAACAGCAGTTGGAACAGAAGAAACGGTGAGAAACAAGGAAGTATAGGATAGCAGCNCAGCCAGAGCTCCAGCTGCCTCTCTTCTTCCTCTTCTTGGCAATCTATGTGGTCTCCATGGTGGGGAACCTGGGCTTGATTGTTCTGATTATTTTGAACCCTCACCTGCACACCCCCATGTACTACTTTCTCTTCAACCTTTCCTTCACAGATCTCTGCTACTCTTCTGTTGTAACTCCCAAAATGCTGGTGAGTTTTGTGAAGCTGAACATCATCTCCCATGCAGAGTGCATGACTCAGATCTTTTTCTTCTGTTTCTTTTGTATTGACGAATGCTACATTTTGGCAGCCATGGCCTATGACAGATACGCTGCCATATGTAAGCCCCTGCTCTACCACACCACCATGTCCCATAAGGTCTGCCTCTTGATGATGGTGGGCGTGTATATGATGGGGTCTCTTGAAGCCATGACCCATACTGGTAGCATATTAAGTCTGACCTTTTGTGATGGCAACATTATCAATCACTACCTGTGTGACATGCCTCCTCTCCTGAAGCTCTCCTGCACAGATACTGCTATCAATGAGCTGGTGGTTTTCATTGTTGTGGGTTTTAATGTCATAGTGCCCAGCCTGACTATCTTTATTTCTTACACCTTGATCCTTTCCAACATCCTTGGCATCCGTTCTGCAGAGGGTAGGTCAAAAGCCTTCAGCACCTGTGGCTCCCATGTTGTAGCTGTTTCTCTTTTCTTTGGAGCTATAGCCTTCATGTATCTTAAACCTTCTAATGTGTCTGGTGATGATGATAAAGTATCTACCGTTTTTTACACTGTTGTGAGTCCAATGCTAAACCCTTTCATCTACAGTTTAAGGAATAAGGATGTCCACATTGCACTGAGAAATACTTTGAGGAAAAGAATATTTACTTAAGTAGAATCTACATTTGTTATGAAAGAAAAAAATCTTAGGATATGTGAGGTTTACAACTAGGGAGAGAAAAAGTAGTGTAGAAAAGTAGCCCATTTTCTGAGCATTTGCTTACACGCAGCATTTCTGTATTGAACCCATAGTCTGGTGTGGGAGATACTTCTGTCTATGTTTTGCTTTTAATAAATAAAGAAACTGCTTTGGCCTTTAGCAAGGCAGAACTTAGCTAGGTGGGGGAAAACTAAACCAAATGCTGGGATAAAGAAGGCAGAGCCAGAAAGAAGACATGTAGAACCACCAGAGACAGATGCCAGAATTTTACCCCAAAAGCCATAGCCTCATGGCAATACACAGATTAATGGAGATGGGTTAATTTAAGATATGAGTTACCCAGGAATATGATTAACACATTGGCCAAACAGTATTGCAAATAATATGGTTTCTGTGTGAATATTTTTGGGCTGAGCAGCCGGGAACAAATAAGCAGCCTTCCTACTATGATAGTCTTCAAAAGTAGCTATAGCAAAAACAACTAAAATAATATCAAAATTCAAAACCTATGGTGATAATGGTGCAAATGCAAGATTATGTAAAATTAATTTATTTACATAGGAAAGTCCAGAAGTAAAGGGAGAGAACAATGATCAATCTATCATCCTTTTAGGCTATAGAGCACAGCTTATACTATAATTTTCCAAAACCATATGTATATTTTTTCAGTATAGAAAATTGAAATAAAAACAGAGCAGCCATCTACTGGTGTGGTACACTCTAGCCTTAGAAATCATAACCATTTAAGTACAACACTCTGCATGATATTACAGTCAGAGATTGTAAGATTCTAAAATATTTTTAAAAGGTACACATTTATATCATTTTTTTTGCAAGTGTGTGTTTGGGGATTTATACTCAGGGTCTCCATGCTTGTCAATTGCTCTTCCATAGAGCCTCATCCTAAAATGTTGACATCTTGAACTAGGGTACATCTAGAGGTCTTATGTTGTTATTCCACTGAGATATTGATTTCAGTATTCTTAGACATAGTGACTCAATAGTTTGGTTAATAATGCCCTGTAAATATTTGGAGAGGATAACATTTTAGGTTTCTTTGTTTCTTGAGATGCTGAAGTTTAGATATTATTTTATCTATAGCCTAATGCAGTTTGGTGAAGAGGAGGTAATGAGTCTGTTGCGATTCCAGTGCTTGCCCATTGAAAATCAAACTGCAGTTTTATGTTAGGCAATTCAGGATAAAGGGAATCTGTACTAGGGTTTCCTCTCATGGTCTAGAGGGTAGGTATGAATGTGTGTATAAACACATGCTATGTCTTCCTTGGAAAAAATTTAACTTAAGATATTTACTGGTTATCACTATATAAATTTTGTGGTTTCTGTAATAAATCATATGATCTTAATTAGTTATCACATGGTTCTTTGTGTCTATAATTTCACTTTCATTCTGTATCAGAAGTTTTCTCAAAATGATGTAGTTTATTGATGTTGTAAATTTAGACTGATGGTCCATCCTATTTTGGACATAGAGCTATCTAGACTTTGGTAAAAAAAATTAAACATACAGCTTTGAAGAAGACTGAAGATTTATCTGATTGCAGAAAGCTAAAAACCAGTAAGTCGGTGAAATAATTTTCATATTTAGGATTTTGTGTAGGAAAAACAACGTACAAGGTCTTGAACAAATTCTAAGTATTTGTACTGAGAAAAACTGTCTTATATTGGGTTGTCTGATCACAGGACTCTTTCTGAGAAGGTGGCAGCTGGCTTTATGAAGACAACTCTGTTCAAAGGCAGGAACAATCTTGACTATTATGAGCAATAGTTATGGAAACTGATGAATGAATGCTACGGAAGAAGGCTAAGCAGAATGATGTGTATGCAAGTGTGAAGAAGAATTACAACACGAGGTTGAATTGGGGCTTGCAGACAAAAAGAATGAATCTCAGTAAGCACAATAAAAATCCAGCTGGTATCAATCAGATAAAGAACTCTGTTTTCTTCCTTCCCCATATTTGGAATCGTAGGAGATGTTCATTTCTAAGCAGTCCAGGTTCCATGAACAAGTTGTAGTGTAATCATGAAACAACCAATCTTAAGTAATGAAAACATTCATGTTCTTTGGAATGAATGATGTTTTTTGGCTAAAGATAAACACATAAAAGAGTGGGCCAGGTAGAGACCAGCTGAAACTGCACCAGGAGTTTTTTTGGGCACCCAGGCCCTGTCTCTTCATGCCCTCAGTAGGCTGTGGGAAACAGAAAGCCCAATGGAACTGGTCAGGTTTGAATTTGGATTGCGCAAGATTTGATTCTTTATCCTCTCAGTCCACTGTCCTGGGGAAGGGGACACTGACAAAAGTTCCTGCGAGAACACACCTGCATAAGAATCACTGTTCCACAAAGAAAATGAAGTGTGCATGGAACTTCACTGAGACAGCAATATCAGGATTAGTAAGACATGATATTTTGAAACTAAGAAAAGAGACGAAGCTGCCAACCACACTGGCCCGAAATCACATATTGTTTGGTGGTTTACTTTACTCTTATTAAAAGGATCCTATTATATTTATATATACACTCCTGTTTTACAGATAACTCAATTATTTATCCTGTGTTCAGAATTAAGGTATTTATCATATACTCCATTTTGTGAATGAGTCTCAGATAAGATGAACAAGATTTCTATGACTTTTGATTATCTTAATTTCTTAGTGATATTGTTTTGAATTAAGTGAATAAAAAGTTTATAAAAATGGTAGCCTTTCTCCAATAAAATCCTTCTAAACTTGCTGTATATTCATGGATACCTGTATATGTAGCATGAGAGAATACTACATCCATTTCCAGCAGCACAAAAATTAATTTTTTTAATATTTTAAAATATGCCTTTAGGTCTATTCTCTGTATGCTGATTCATATGTATTATATGTGAAGAATTGTATTTGCTTTCTAAATTATAGCTTGAATTGATCTGGCATCTGTAACAATAAATACATTTTCATAGGTATACTTGAACTATAAATGGCACCATGTGAATCCCAAGTGTGTATTTACACAAATTCTCCATCTATTCAATTGCAGCGACAGTGATACCAATATCTAGGATCAGTTGCTTACACTGATACCACCAGTGGCCGCTGTGTCAGAACTGTCAGCCGGCCCTCATCAGTGCTGATAATCTGTTAGTTAAGAGTAGTGGCACATGCCTGTTATTTCTGTCCTCTAGAGACAAAGTCAGAAAGATGATAATTTCATGACCTCCCTGAGATACACAACACAATCCTGTCTCAAGGCAAAGGGACAAAAATAAGCAGTGACAGGCTATGAAAAATCAAGGCTATACTGAGAAAGGAAAGTTGTATGAAATAAGCATTGTTTATATTTCAGGATTATGATACTTAAAATACAGGATGTATTATTTTTTAAATATTAAGTGTGTACCACAACCGTTTTATTATTAGCTATCCAGAATCCAAGGCTGAGAGGATAAAGAATCAAATCTTGCGCAATCCAAATTCAAACCTGACCAGTTCCATTGGGCTTTCTGTTTCCCACAGCCTACTGAGGGCATGAAGAGACAGGGCCTGGGTGCCCAAAAAAACTCCTGGTGCAGTTTCAGCTGGTCTCTACCTGGCCCACTCTTTTATGTGTTTATCTTTAGCCAAAAAACATCATTCATTCCAAAGAACATGAATGTTTTCGTTACTTAAGATTGGTTGTTTCATGATTACACTACAACTTGTTCATGGAACCTGGACTGCTTATAAATGAACATCTCCTACGATTCCAAATATGGGGAAGGAAGAAAACAGTTCTTTATCTGATTGATACCAGCTGGATTTTTATTGTGCTTACTGAGATTCATTCTTTTTGTCTGCAAGCCCCAATTCAACCTCGTGTTGTAATTCTTCTTCACACTTGCATACACATCATTCTGCTTAGCCTTCTTCCATAGCATTCATTCATCAGTTTCCATAACTATTGCTCATAATAGTCAAGATTGTTCCTGCCTTTGAACAGAGTTGTCTTCATAAAGCCAGCTGCCACCTTCTCAGAAAGAGTCCTGTGATCAGACAACCCAATATAAGACAGTTTTTCTCAGTACAAATACTTAGAATTTGTTCAAGACCTTGTACGTTGTTTTTCCTACACAAAATCCTAAATATGAAAATTATTTCACCGACTTACTGGTTTTTAGCTTTCTGCAATCAGATGCATCTTCAGTCTTCTTCAAAGCTGTATGTTTAATTTTTTTTACCAAAGTCTAGATAGCTCTATGTCCAAAATAGGATGGACCATCAGTCTAAATTTACAACATCAATAAACTACATCATTTTGAGAAAACTTCTGATACAGAATGAAAGTGAAATTATAGACACAAATCCAAACAGTTCCATTTTTCACATTTACATTCCTTTTATTAACAGATGACTCAGCAATTTACCCTGACTTCAGAAATAAGACAGTCAATATAAACTCCTTTTTGTGAATGAGTCTCAGATATAATGACCTAGCTTCTATGATTTTTGGTTGTCTTGATTCTTTAGGTATTACTGCTCTGCATTAACTGAACAAAAAGTCAGTCTATAAAAATGGTGCTATTTCTCCAATAAAATACTTTCAGACTGGTTGTATAATCATGGGCATTGGTGCTTGTCTGGCATTGGAAGATATTATATCCATTCCCAGCAGTACAAAAGTTTATTTTCCTTAACTATTTTAAAATATACCTTTAGTTCTTTTCTCTACTTGTTAGTTCACATGTGTTATATGTGACAAATTACATTTGGTTTCTATATTATTATTTAAATTGATCTTACAACTATAACACTAAATATATTTTTCATAGATATATGTGAATTTTAAATGGCCCTGAGTTAACTCCAAGTGTGTATTAACACAAATTGTCCCCCATTCAACTGCAGTGACATGATGCATTGTCTATGATCAAGTGCCTACACAGATACTAGCAATGGCAGCTATGTTGGA